TTATTATTATTATTATTATTATTATTATTATTATTATTATTATTATTTTCATCATGGTCATTTAAAACTTCTTCAAATATTCTTGGATTATGCATAATTGCAATAAATTCATCATCATGATTATTTTCATTTAGTAAATGTCTCATATTAATTATATCATGAGCAATTTCATTTTTTCGTTGTTCAGTTTTTAATTCAAGAAAATTTTTTATATTAGATGTTATTGCTGGTAATACTGGTTGATCAGATTGAAATATTTGTAAATTATCTTCATATTCATCATCCATGGCAGCAATAGGAGCTATTTGTAAATTTTTTGATTCATCATTATCTTCATCAATATCAACAATTGGTGCTTCATTTGACATTGGTGATACTGAACGTGTACTATTACTTTTACTATAGGAAGACACCGATCGATGATCATCAAGATTAACTTGAAGACATAATTCATTATTATCATCATTATTGACTTCAAGAGATAATTCTTCATTATCATTACGATTTAATGTATTACTATCTAAATTCATATCATCATCATCATCACTATTGTCATTATCGTCACTATCAGACGATGTCACAAGTCCATCATCACTTATAAATACACGTGCTTGATCAGTATAACCAAAACTTAGATGTGATGATACATTTGAACATCTTGAATTACTACGTGATGAATCAATAAAATCCACTTGATCGAATGGATGCATGTGTAAAACTAACGGTACATTTATTCTATTAGTTTGAGAATTCATATTTGATGGATTAGAATGAAGAATATTATCATCATTCCATTGTGTGACTTCATCATCAAAATTCACTTCATCGTCATGCTCATCTTGTAAATGTGATGAAGATAAAAGTGAATCAGGCGATGATGAACGTATTGAATCAGATTGATTATACATATCCATATGATCAAAAGGAACTCTATCATCATTATCTTCTTCATGTTCATTTGGATCATCAATATCAGGAATATCTTTAAATAAAGATGGTACTACTGCTGTTGTATCATGTTGTTCATCAGTAAAACCATTTAAAAATGAATCATCTTCAAGATCATAATCATCATGTGAATTTTCAACATGATTAATAAACTCATCAAATAAATGATTATGATTAGAATGATTCACCGTTGAATCACTATCACTATTAAGTTTTTTTTGCGTCGTAATAGAAGCATGTCGAATTGGTATACCATCAAAATCATCTTCATCATTATCATCATCAATATCCTCAGTAGGTTCTAGAGGCGATGGTAATGATGGTGTAACTTGATTGTTACTTGAAGTGTTATTTTCATCCCTCACAGCACAACTGTCCATTAGTTGTTCTTGTGTTGCTCCTACTTCACTAGACGAAGATGAAGAAGTGACGAAGGCTGCTCTGCTAAGCGGATCTGAATCGGCAAATAAGAATGAACCGAATATGGGTTGATAAGATTTTTCTGTATTGACATTAGTGACAACAGCATTGGATGATGCTTCTGTGGAACATGGTGCATTGTTGTCAAATATCGAGGGTAAATCAGAATAAAACGTGGTGAGATCCTCGACATCAGACGCCATATTGATCATATGAACATTTTTCTTGCATTCGATGCGAAAAAGAAGCAAAGAAAACGGATGGCGATAAAGAAGAAAAGAACGAGAAGAACAGAATGAAAAGAAAAAAAAAAACACGTACTGCAGAATTGACAATAGCTGAATAAGTCGGGCCGAAAAAAAGGATGATGATGAGTGTGAAACACGGAAAAAATGCGGGCGAGCAATAAACAAGCAAACTCAGAGAAAGAAGAAAGAACAACAGCAGCAGCTTATAGAACCGTCAAACACGCTTTTTTTTTTCTTATTCTCTTCGTCTTGTTCTAACGTATTTTTTATATACACAATTCTTGCAACTCAAAACTGCCTTGGATTCATATTAGTACGGAGACAACAAATCTCTCTGTCTTCTATTTACCATTATATCTATAAAGCATATTAAGAGATGAAAGAAAGAAAAACAAAGAAAGAAAAAAAAAAAGAAAGAAAGAATATTTATAGCAAAAATATTGATTGATATTTCTTTTATAGAAATATTCTTACTCACTCATAGGACTAATACATTTGCTAGAGAGTAATCTAATCAGATAGGTAAATGTTGGCCAAATGACAGACGACGTATTCTCAAATGTAATCGATATGTGTATAGATATCAATGAAACAAATATCCCTCTTCATTGTAAATCCGTCAATCATTTATCCTTCACATCGAATATACTAAATATTATGATATTTATTAATACAAAAAGAAAAGAATTTTTCTTTGTCAGTCATTTACACTTTTTTGGCTTTAATTAGCTATCATCATCAAGGTCATAGCAATGATGATTGATTAGTCTTTGTCAGAATATATAAAGATATATTTAGATATGTAATAGAATCTGAACTAAACTGCTATGATAATTAAATCAGTAAAAAAAATGCATCATATGTGACATTGACTAGTGATGAACGAAATAATCGGTTTTAATTTTTTCTTTTTTCATTGATTCTCATATTTATCGACATGAAAGGTCACTGTCATCATTATTAAAGTTGACAGATAAATAAATCAATTTAATCTCTGTTTTAATATAAAAATATATATACATATATAGTCTCGTTGGAATTCTTAAAAGATTCTCAAAATAATAGTAAGATAGAAATTACATATGAGGCAGCCGTTATAATGCTTAATAATCGTATTCCATTTGTTACATATCATTACATGCAAGCAATCAACTGAAGCAGTCAACCGGTAATATAAAAAGAAAACTTACAGCATTTGGATAAAGATCACTTTTATTTATAGCAACAAAATCTGTTTCAGAATCCGACGAAGAACTTGGTGTAGACGTAAATTGTGTTTCTGGCATTGCTTGAACTTGTTCATTATCAACTTCTGTAAAAAAGACACACATAGTCTCTTGCAGTTGATTAACTACCTGAATTTACATGCATACGAACCTGGACATGAAGGCTCAGATTGATTTGGTGGTATAACTGGAGGACTTGAGTTTGTTTCACCCTCATTAATACTATTTGAACGACTGGTACTAGGTGTTTGAATATTACCGTCATCATTATCTCTTTCCATGTTGTTTGATTTGTAAAAGTAATCTGAAAAATTGAAAACTGCGATATGTACACCATATAATTGAGAACAAACGCCTCTAGCAACCATTCTAAGTATATTCTTCAAATTACATACTATTTCCTTTAGACCTTTATGAATGATTTCTTAAGTAAACAAGAAAATGAAGCAACAGCATCCCTTCAAATAAATCGCTAATCGGTTATAACACTAATAGCAAACAAAAAATTTTTATTATCAAAATAATCTACTCACATACATCATTCTATTACAGTTATAATTTGTTGATCGATCCATTCACAATAAAAAAAATGAAAAATTCCGTTTGAAATGTTGTACATTTGCATAACGACAAATGTTTGTTTTTACCTGTTTCTCAGTTACAATGTGAAAGCGTTATTTTCGTCTGTAGAGGAACAGTCAGGTATATAGAAAATGAATCAACACTTATGCAGCAACATCAACATGCTAAAACACATGTCTTATCATACGATAGCACAATGTCACATTGTTACATTTTAAAGATAGTAACATAAGAAAAAAAATAAAAATACGGTCGATATTTCTGTCTCAATAGTTTTGATGCTAATACTTAATAATGCAAATGAACTTGATATAAACTGGTAAATAAATTTTTCTTGAATGACGTTATTATGAAAACTAATATCAATAAGTATAAAGAAAATACATTAAGAAGCAGAAGGCCGTCTAAGAAAGAATAATATAAATATTTATCATTGCAAAGTAAAAAAAAAATACTAACACACTAGAATAACAAAAACTGCATTCGGTTTCAATTAATACAAAAGGTACGTTATAATATTGATACCACAGTTTTCGTATACGCATAAGACTTCATATTGTATTTAATAGAAAAAGTTTCAAATGATCCTGGATATATGTGTTCTTTTAATCTACTAAAAGCCCTATTCTTTTTTTTATCATATATCAACAAATGAAAATAATTGACTATAAACAAAAAGATTTTATTGAACTAATCAATCTCATTTATTCTTCTTAAATAACTAAAAACATGAAAGTTTAAAAACTTCTAAATTTCATACATCTTAAATTTCATTAACGTCTACTTAGAAGAATATTTATAATTTACTATGTCATTTTTGATAAATCTATTTGGTTTTAATATTGAACTTGTCTAAATAGTGACTTTTGATGTAAAATGCAACTTAAACATCTTGAGTGGCATTAGCATGAAATTTTGAAGGAAATCCTTTAGAATAATCATGGATTACAATTTATGGCCAACGGATGAATAGAATCAAGTGATACTTGAAAAGAAAACAAATATAAGATGCATGCGGTATATAAAACGTCATTCTTTTTTCTTCTTTGCATAGGACGACGCAATTTACGAGATAAAGTTAGGTTAACAAACACTAAGCATAGATCATGTTACATGCAAAATCCACTGCATTAGAAGTTATTCAAGCTTTAAATGCCGATCTCACAGATAAAACAGTTTTAATTACCAGAGGAACTGCAGGTAAATTGAACTCGTTAATTATTAGACATAAACAAAGCAACCCATTATGAAAAGGGATTGGACTTGAAACAGCATGCGCACTAGCTACAATGCATGCGCATGTGATAATTACAGGACGTGATATGGTTAAAGGTAAAAAAGCTCTTGAAGACCTTCGGCAATCAACAAAAAATGAAAAAAATTGAATTAATTGAACTTCATCTTGATTCATTAGAATCAGTTTGTTCATTTGCTGAAGAATATATAAAAAGAAATTTATCATTACATATACTAATTTGTAATGCTGGTGTCTTTCCTAGTATACGTAGATAAACAAAAGGTGGTTTTGAATATAATTGGGGTATTACTTATTTATCACATTTTTTACTTGCACAACTTTTATTACCAGTATTAAAAAGAAATCAATCATCACGTATAGTTGTTGTTAGTTCATTAGCTAATCATTGTGCTGGAATTGATTTTGATGATTGGAATTAAGAAAAACATCTATTCAATAAGTTCTTCGCTTACGCATAAAGTAAAGTAGCAAATAGATTTTTGGCTAAACAAATTAGTTAATTATATGCTGATTAAAGTCTTAGAGTTTATAGTCTCCATCTGGTCACAGTTACTACTGATATACACAATGAAATGAGTCAAAAAGAATTGGAGAAATTTGGTTTGACTGATAAAGAAACAGGAAAATCTGTTGAACGTATAAAAACTTCTGAACAAGTTGCATCACTAAGTGTTTGAGTTGCATTAGCAACTGAGTTAGAAAATCAATCGAGTGCTTATTGTCAAAATTGTTCTATTAGTTCAGGTGTTGTTGATCCATCAACTTCAAAAATTTATGATTTAGCAGCACATAGTGTTAATGTGAAATCAGCAAAACGTTTATAGAAGTTAAGTGAAAATTCAGTTGAAAAATTTTTAATAAAATAAAAAAACAAGAAAAAAAAAGGAATTCTAGGAAGTTGCATCTGAGATAGTAACAGTTGGAAAAGAAGAACGTTGTTTATATGAATCTGGATCTAATTGAAGTCGATTAGGTAAACTTGGAAAATAAGAAGGTTGTCGTTTGTCAAATATTTGATCAAATTCCATTTGAATCTGTGTTTCTCGTGCATGAATTTTTGATGAATTTGTTGAACCATAAAGCCATTCAAGTTCTAATTGACGTAGTTTTGAACGATTAACAGGTGGTAATTTACTTATCGATTGAACATTAGGACGCACTAGAATAAAAAGTATATATTAATTTTCAAGAAGGAATAAGCTTTATGTGCGAAGTTCTATGATATTCTAATTACTTTGTTCACCAGGTATCAATTCAAATTGTTCAGCTTCATTTTTCTCTTGTGATTTTTGATTTTCTAGAATAAAAAAAGAAATTTTATACTGCTTTCTTCTATTTAAATTGAAAAGAATCTATACAGTGCTGAAGAAAATGTTTCGAATGATTATTTATGTTAAGTTAAATTTTTATTCTCAAACAAATAGAATTCATATGAACAGTTATAGCTAGTAAAATTGTACTTTTTGAACAGTACTATGAAACTTTAAATCATCTACGATTTATAAATCATACGATATTCCTTTGTATGTCATATCGACCATGATGTGGCGACAAACAGCTTGTAAAAGGTTTAAATATCAAAATGTATTTCCTGTTTTTTCTTTTTTTGATACTTATGGTTCGAATTTTATGAATAAAAAGCTGGCTGTTTTTTTCAACTCTTAACGATCCGCTTGAAATAGATATTTAATAATAAACAGTCTCTCATGAGATAGCAACTTAAAAGAATTATATTTGAACTTAAATGATTTATTCTCTAACATTAATCATTGTACTCTACTAACTTCGATTTGCTTTGTGATCGCGTGAAAGACGATAAAAATCTAGCAAATCATCATCAATCGTAAATTGAAGTTGTTTATCATTATCGTCATCAATCATTGTATTTTCTTCCTCTTCTCTCATCAATATTGGCGCATTATTAATCGTATTTCCTTGAATCCATTGCATAGCTGTTTGATAGTTTTTCCAATAAGTCAAATCATTATTCTCCATTTCTATAATAGTCTAAAATTATAACAAACATTTTCTTTTTTTATTTGGTTTGTCTCTCTCTCTCTCTCTCTATATATATATATATATTTAAGTAGAATGTGCATGACAAAAAAAAAATAAGTATATATTTACATTAGATTTATCAAACAATATTATAAGAAATCAGTATTTTTTGGCTTTTCAAAAAACAAAAACTATGAAGTTTGTTTATATTTTTGATTTCTTCAATTCAGAAAATATAAAATAACGATCGAATTTGATCAACATGTAATTCCGTCAGAAATATTGTTATCAATAAAGACATCCAACCAAGTACACTTGCCTTTTGTATAAATTCCTAAAGAAAAACAAATACAACTATTGATATTTATGGAGATATATTTAATTTAATAACGAACCCATGTTCGATCAAAGAAAATAGCAATTACAAGATAATCTTGAATACTTAATGCGCATAAATATCTCCATAAATAAAATATTAATATAGTTAATGGTGAATGAAGAATTGCTAATTGTAAAGCCTAAATTGTCAAGAAAAACATTGAAAAATCTAATGCAATTATTTCTAACTTGTTGTTGTGATTTGTCTTTATATGAATCTAGTAAACTTTCATATGCTTGTACATCTCTATCCCAAAATATCGCTGCTAATGAATAACGTAAAGTAAATAAACTTAAAGAAATAAATATTCTTCCTTTTGTTTCGAGTATATTAGTATTTATATCATTAACTGATGGAATTTTCGGTTCATCATCCATATTTAATATAATCACATCTGTTTCCTCATTTTCAGTATCACTCGATCGACTTAAACGTGTTGATAATGATCGACTGATTTGATGTGTTATTGATCGAATTGGCCGTTGTTTATAAAAATAAAGTAAACATCCGATTATGAGACATGTTCCACCTAATACATCACTTAGAGCATCAACATAAAAACCTAAACCACCATGGTAGGATTTATAATGTGAATTTTTTGCATGTGCACGAAAAACAACACCATCAAGATCATCAAGAAAAGTACGAATTTCAAAAATTAAAACACCTATTCGACGTTGATATAATGATTCACTTGAAAAAAATTTTATTGAAATCAATGACAAACAGCAATGAAATATTGATATAGCATTAGCTGATATTAATGGAAAATAATACGTAAAATGAAGATTCGATTCAACATATTCAGCTAGTGGCGCTCGAACATACTGAGTCTAAATATAAACAAAAAGCTGTTAGAGCAATACCAGTAGGATTAAATTTGAAGCACAATGTAGCTGCTCTTGAGAATCACAGGAAGATTGTGTTATTCTATCTACTTTGGAATACATCTCTGTACTATACTTTTACTTAATCCTCCAGAAATGTAATAAGGTGCTAATTCATATATTATGACAAGACATCATCGATATATGGTCCTTGATCGTATATCCAGAACGTCTGTCAGAGTCTGTAAGGACGGAGAGTCCAAATTTGTATCCCTATACTTTAACATTACTTTCAGATTACGTTTCACAAAAATAACAATTATATTATTATCTGAATCGTCTATTGAAAAAGATTTCATAAACTACTTTTTGTTTCATTGGTTCAAATATAGCAGTGGACAAAAGTCTTTGCTTTAGCTGAAGTCGACACTGTACGTACTGATGGTTTGTAAGTTTGTGTGAGCATACTTTACCAAGAATGTAGATTAAAGATAATACAGCGTCATTATTGCTTAACTACAAACAAGCTTATAATGGGCGGCACCTCACGAGGAAACGTTTTCAACTGTCCAATCATGTTTGAGTTCAGACTCTGTGCATAAAGTAGATCCCATTGGGGTATGAAAAACCCCAAAAGGATAAGGACCCTTAGGCTTTCTGCCCAGAGTTATAGGCATTTTACTGCAATTTTAGACTGTAGCATGGTATATATCAAAAAAACGACTGACGGTATTTCGAGCTGAGATTTAATCCACAAACAGGCCTATTACTGAACAAAATGTCCTGAAAATTTCAGTTCGAACAAATGTTGTCTTGCTGAGATATTGGAATCCCAAGAATCACTGGAATCCTATGAACGATAGTAAAATATTCTGTTTTTTGAGGCTCTTATATCTCGCGAAGAAAACATTTGTTCGAGCTGAAATTTTCAAGACATTTTGCTCAGCAATAAGGCCTGTCTGTGGATTAAATCTCAGATCGAAATACCGCCATTCGATTTTTTGATATATACCATGCCATAGGCTAAAATTGCAGTAAAATGCCTATAACTCTGGACAGAAGGCCTAAGGGCACTTATCGTTTTGGGGTTTTTCATACCTCAATAGGATCGACTTTATGCACAGAATCTGAACTCAAAAGCGATTAGACAGTTGAAACCGTTCCCTCGTAAGTTTTCTTTTCCGCATTATAGTCTAAAAAAAAGACTACCTACATAATTTTGCGCTCTTTCTTACTAAAAATATGACTATCGCTTAATATTTTTACATGTAGCTAAAGTTCCATATCTCTGTACGATTTCTCTTTAGAGCAAGATTCGCTTTGGAAAGTTGTAGATAATGATGCCTAACTGTAGAGAAAATTTCTCAAAAATGTTGACCTCGTTTCATTGAACTATCACGAAGTTATTGACCACCAAACGATAGCAGATGGTTTCTCTCAACAACAATGATCATGGTAAAAGGAGTATAGTCTTTGACATAATTGATGAACTTCAATGAAATTAGTAAGGTAGATAGCTGAGGCACAGCATTACATATTAAAGAGTCTGCTGACACAGAATACTTGTCTTTTGCATGGTTATGAGACTAACGACAAAAATAGATGCCATTCATCATGACTCCCTATGTAATTAAGCAATAACGGCATCGCCGTGACAATGATCTACATTCTTGATGAAGTATGCTTACACAAATTTTCAGACCTTCAATACATACAATGAACGAGATAGACTGAGCGAAGACCTTTGTTCATTATTATATATGATAAATAAAAAACTTAACTTAAATAGAAAACATAAGCATTCTATAGTGTTTTTGTTTATATTGTTATTGAGAGTATTCATTAACTATTGGAACAAGCAAAGGTTTAAGAGACGATTTAAATAATGAAAAAGGCTGCATCATTTCATTAAAAAATCTAAAAGAAAACAGACTACTGATTTATTTCTAACTGTTGATCACAACAAAAGTCGTCGTTATTTCTTAGATTAAAAAAAACTCTCGTGTTCACTTTCGAACATTCAAAATGATTGCCAATAATAGTTAGATTTGTAATTCTTTTAGTAAGAAATGCGTGAAATATTAAACCTTCTCCTTGAAATATAGAAAAATATATTCAGATATTTTCTAGAATCAGTCAAATACTGTTAGTATCATACGTTGTTTATTTGTTGATTACACCGATTATACAACGACAAATTGATGTAACAATATTTATGATGACCAAACTTTTTTTCAGCATCCATTGCATATTAATATTTATCAATAAATTTTAGGTACTGCTCCAGACGGAAGACAACTTCACCCTCATGCTCTATAATGATGCTCTCATCTCAAGAAGAAAGAATCGAAAATTTCGTACTTCAAGATTGAATTATTAATGAAATACGACGAAGTATTTTGACTGTATAGTCAGACAAAACTCAAACTAATATGTCGGTGGTACACTTTAATAGTAGACTTAAAATAGCTAGGAATTTTTGACTCCTCACTGTCAATCAGATCGATTCGTTAAGAGAAACATGGGACACAATATTTTCAGATGGATATGGATCTTTTTTACAGATACACACATCCTAATCACTAGTTACTTTGACTATATGTTAATCTAGTTAGTCTATGAAAATCCCTTTATGTGGATGAGAAGTTGTGTGCATCATGTAGAAGTATCCGAGAAGAGATAATACAAAATTACAACTCGAAAAACATTGGTGATCAACAGTACTTTTTCTTGTCGGCAAACTGCAATCGGTTTAACCATGTTTTTCTTTAAAAAGCCGAATTTTTTAATAGAAACCAACTTTTTAGTTATTTTACAAGATCTAACTTCAATACAAATGAAAAATATACCATGTATATTCTATACAGAATTATTTTGATAATAACTATTAAGAGAATTTTCTTACTTATAAAGTTATAAAATAAAAGTCATTTTATTCTTTCATCAGACTTAATACGTATGAATTACTATCTAGACAAAAATTTTCTTTGTCACATGTTCATTCTATCAATTAAATTTTGATTTCTTGAAGGTCTAACCTGCCTCATTGATAAAGTTAAAATTAGTTTCTCGCGAAATCAAAATTATCTGAAGACATAAATATTCGATTCTTACAAGTTTCAAATGTCTATGTACTAATGTCTTTCACCGATTAATTGATTATTTTTAGAACATAATCCTGATACAGTACTGATAACTACTTTTTTGACAAACCTTTTTTGCATATTCGAAACTTAAAATACTTACTATTGGTCCAACCATAATTTTTTTGATTGATAATGCATTAAACATATGAGTATCATTTAATGCTTCAGTTATTGTTTGATGAAATTTATCAAAATTTGTATGATTTATTGTTGCCGTATTTAAATCTAATGGTCCTCTTGAACGTATTTGAAAATAAAGTATGGTATCCATTATTTCTAAGTAAATTATAACAAGTAAAAAGCATGAATAAATTGGATATGTTAGAAAAAGATGAAATGCACGAACACAAAAATGTCCATGTTGATAAACAGATCGTACTGGGCCAGTCCCATTACTTAGTCTGCGTATATCGATAACCATGAATTAATATATTTTAGAACATACAATGAATACACTAAAAGATAAATAAATACTATTGCGATTTTATACACAAAGCTAAGAGAAGACGAACAGGCTTCTGAAATCAGGCCATAATCAGCTGTTCTTCGCATACTTACACGATTGCTGAATTCATCATAAAGTCCTTTTCCCTCTTCCTTCGATTGATACTACAAGCATGTAAAAGCAGAAGAAAAAAAAATAGAAATTCTTCAATGGCGTAGTAAGACATGGGGTGATTCTCGCCTGTTGTCATTTATATACATTCACCGACATTCCTAATCGGACATTTCTCTAAACAAACAATGGAAACCTTTTTTTCTTAGATTTCTTGATAGAATCAAGGATTTCTTAGAAGAGAAAAAGAAGAATTGATGTTCTTGTTCTATTTAATCGAAAACAAGTAAATAACGAGAGTTGTATCAAGGCTGCTAGAATTGTGAGTGCGTGCTGTTTTAACGAATTGGAGAGCAAAAATAAATAAATCAAACGTCGAAGCTCCGTAGAGAAAAACGAAAATTTTTCATGGTTGAGATGGTGAGCATATCAAGCAAATAATTTAATGATAAGCTGGCTTATTCATACAAGTGAAATAACAAACACTTAAGCTATTCAAACCTATTCATTTATAAGAAAAAGACCGCACGTCTAACAGAAGACAAGAAGATAAACAAATATATGTTAAACTTACTTGATCCAAATTCCATACTCAATAGGTAATCGATGTTGTATCAATTACATTATCAACTACTGCAAGAAAAAAGAAATATAGAATATATATGTTTGTTAGATGTTTAGAGTTCTTATCGAATACTTTCTTTTCTGGATTCTCTTGCATGGATTCATATTGTTTTGATTCAAATGAAGAAAAGAAATAGAAAGATTGAAACATATGCGCGCATAGATTATTTTCTTGATTTATATTCAATATTTAAAAAAAAACAAGAACAGATTAGTAGTAGTAACCATTGAAAAAAAATTGAAAAACAAATTAAATGATAACGTTATATTTTGTTTCTATACATCTTAGAATAAAAGAAAAGATTAATAAAATTATTAATTTGTATCCATTGTATTGTCAGATGATTTTTCTTCATTAGATTTTTTATAATGTTTTTCTAATGCTTGTGCAAAAGCTTGTAAATCACCTTGATTAGCTGCTCTTATCACATCATCTGGAAAACCAAATTGAACAAGAACAGGTCCTAATTCACCTGATTGAAGAGCAACACTAAATTAAAATAAGCAAAAAAAAATGGAAACAAAAATACAAAGAAATTTTCGTTTTATTAAACATACCTAAATGCACTAACAGCTTGTCGAAATTGTGGTGATTGAATTGATTCTTTTAATTCTTCTTCCGTATTTGGTATTGTACTACCTTCAGGTAAATGTGCTCGTAGTTTTTCTTGTACATCTTTATTAGCTAATAATGGGACTAAATTCTAAAATAGTGACTTGATAAGATTGAAAAACAAAAACTATATCGAACATACATCATTAGTTATTATATTACACAAATCAATGACAGGTTTAGATGAAGATGTTGTTGTTGTTGCTGCTTCAGTTGTTTGAGTTGCATTACTACCCAAATTAGCCAGAACATTTGCCAAAGTACTCAGCTGAATGGAACCACTTTTTGATCCACTAGATTCTGTTGAACTAGAAGTACTTTTAGGAGCTGCAGCAGATGGTGACGAACTTGTTCCATCATTACGTGATTTTGATGACGAACCACCACTATGACTAGTGGATGTAACTGTTGTTCCGGCAGTATTTGTACTAGCTGGTGCTGTATTTGGACGAGAATCAGTCGTAGGTTGGGTTGAACGACTAGGAGATCCTCCACTACGATGCATACCTTGAATCAAACCAGCACCTCTACCACTACGTCCAAATGACGAAGTAAGTAATGATGCTAATTCATTTGGAGCCATGTCTATCAAAAAGAAACTTTCTTTTTTTGGAAGAAAGAAGAAAATTGAGATCTACTTCGAAGAACATTTGATAAATCATTTGGATCAATACCAGCACTTGCACCACCACTACCACCAGCAATTCGCTCCATAAATGGTTGTAACGGATGACTACCATTTGCATCACTAATATCATCACCAAAACCAGGTGTTGGTGGATGATTAAGCTAGTAAAATATATATTAAACAATGTGTAAATTTAAAAAAAGTAAACTTACAAGTTCATTTATCTTTTTACAATATTCTTCATCTTGGTCTTCTTTTGGTTCTTGCATCCAAAAGAATAATTTACGAGAATTACTTCTCCATTTAAGAATATATACACGTCCTATAAAGCAGATGTATATATATTTATTTGTTTGTAAAATTTATTAGAATTGTTTTTATCTTTACCTGTTGTATTTTGTGTTACTTTTTTAAATTCAATTTCATCTGGAAATATAACAAGATCGTCTTCAGCTGAATTACTTGATCGATCTTTCCAACATAAATGCATTAGCATATCATTGCCTTGATATAAATAAACAAGACCTTTTCGTTTATCTGGATAGACCTAAAATACAAATATATAAAAAGAACCAACTTTCAAGTTTACGTAACAGACCGTGTTACCACGTAGATTCATTTTACCAGCTTTAAACTCTACTAAATTTCGACTACGTGCTTGAGAGGCAGCTCCACCGAACAATGACATTTTTTTCTGTTGCTTTTTTTGAAATGATTAATAGTATTACTTTGCAAAAAATACAAAATGAGATGATGAAGATTTGTCATGCATATCATGACGAATGCATGGCTTCGATTCGATTGGTGCAAACTACCATCAATGTAAAATTCGTACCGTCTGTTAATGATAATTATAAAATCTGGACTTGAATACAAAAAAAGCTAGTTTAACAAAAATATATACTTCTATTGATCAATTCAAAAAGTGATAATGAAATCTATGAAAACAGTGTGAAGACTTGTGGCTCCCTCTCACGTGCATTAAATGAAAGATGGGTCTATTTTAAGGTAGGATATCTGAAATGAAATTTCAACTGACGGTTAAACATAAGCAGTACGATGGTCTTTAGATTGTTGACGGGAGTGCATAAGAAACTGTCTCATTGAGGTAAAACATCTTTGAAAAAGCTTGCTATTTGTTTTACTTGCCGATAAGAACTGATTTTCAATTATTGGGAATGTATTCACAATCACACATCCCTCGCTTTCATGGCTTTGGCAATTTCATATAGATATGCAATATTTATCTTCCTTCTGTAAAAAATCATCTTACAGTAAAATATAGTTCCTACCGAAGTGCAAAACTTGGACCATTTTCATCTAAATTATTAGAACAATCTTCTCTTTATCTCTGAAAGAACTGCTACAAAAAAAATTAACTCTTCAAATGTAATTTCATCAAATGACTCGCTGTGTAACAAAGAATATATTGCAAACAGTTACAATACTACAGAATTTTCAACATTGATATCATCTCATTTTTTTGCATCTTAACTTTTCTTTTATGATGAGAACTCCGATTTCAACTTATTTGAAGAGAGAGTTACCAATTGCCTAAGAGATTTATGAGAAGTGATATTCATTCTAAACATCTTCGATAGATTCTATTTATTTCAAAATAGTAATAATTGTCCTTTTAATTTCTATGTTTTTCTCGGAAAGTTTCATGCTTGTTGCCACTCTTGTGTATGTTTCAATTTATAATCATTTCTATAAATCTATTAATTCAGTAGACATATACCATCATTGTTGTTTCGCTTGACTAATTTTCGTGAAGAATTCATGTTACTGTTCTTCGAAACCGATAAACAGAAACAATTGTAATAATAATAATATATATGCCCGTTAAAGTAAATCCAACAATCATCATAATCAAATAAGGTTTTGATGAGGACGGCTTTTCCCATTGTACATGAACAATTTTTTTTTTATTATAATAACATGTATGATTAGTTCGTACATTATAATTAACTATTTTTGCTAATGCTTCGCCTAATGTGCCATATTTTTTTATTATTGTTGAAAACGTATATTTATTAGATTTTGCAACACGATATTCAACAGACCACATAACATAATAACAGGAATGTTGACATGAATCATAGTCAACATCAACAATAAGACATGTAACATTCTTATGTGTCCTATAAGCAGCTTTTGTTGGTATATAACGACCAACACCAACAACTCCGACAATTAATGAAGCTACACCAATAATAGTAAAGGTAACAAGAAGAAAAATATATAATGTACATGAAACTAAAGTTAATATACGACTTGCCATTTTATATTAATAAACTTTACCGTCGTTTATTAAGACTGTAAAAGTTTCACTTCGTTGTTCTGTGAGAAAAAAGTATGCACATACACACACACTAAATAAAAAATCATACAAAAATATTCAAAAGCAAAAAATATGAAAATTCAACTTGAGACCATGAAGAAAAAAATAACGAAGTGTGTGTAGGGACAACAAGTGTTTCACTGCCTCTTATAAGATTTTATTGTTGTTCACATTCAATTGCAAGAACAAAAAAGAAAACGTCTCAACGTACTTATTAACAATACAAGTCAGTGTAAACCTTCGACTTTCTTAATAAGAATTGAAGTTTAGATAGTCATGTCATCTCTATAGACAAAAGTGTAAACCAGAACAGATTTTTTTGTATCTCAAGTTCTTTAATTTTTCAAAAAAAATTAATATTCTATTTACAGTTATTTTGAAGACATTTTCGACAAGAATCTGTCGACATTTCAAAGAAGTTTACCATTAGTATAACATGTATCAGTAAGAAGAACTCACAGAAATTTAAAAGTACACATTTTATACGTGTACAAATTTAAACACAAGTTCTTTTTCTCATTTTGAATACAAAACTAGAAAATAATTTTAATGTTTGTCTCCTATGAAAGGTTTTAACTATGCTATGCGTACATGCTTTACTGTTGTTTTGTTTTCTTGTCGTGCCTGATTGACACAAATAACACACGAGATTCGAAAGAACAAAAAACAAATTCTATTTATTGATTAAACCTAATTTCTTATTCCAGGGCGCTATGATTCAGATTTACAACATCACTTTTACATATGACATCACATTAGAAAAAAATACGTTCATAAATTCATTGACACCTCCAATATATGACTCAAGTCGTTTGTCCGTATGATTTAAATTAAAATAAAGTGCCTTGTTTTTTACAAAAATATTTTTGTATTAATGTTGCAATTGGTTTTACAGAAACGATGACTTATATAAAATTTACATATTATCTTAATAATCAAGCATTGTATGACATTCATACATTAAGAGTTTCTTTTAAAACTCTCTAAGATATATCAATTGAAGACCCAGATCAAATACGCATGATTGTTTTAGATAGCTTTTTCGGCATTTCGTAGACATACTATAAGGATTGTATTGTAAACGATCGTGTACTCAATTTTCAGGCCGTTATCCACGAAATATGTTCAGACTACCTTTGCAGTTTGTCCCAAGTATGTTTCATTTCATAATCTTGAAAATATTGATCTATAGAGTTATTCAAAACTAGATATTGTGACTAGTGAATTCACTACGATTTAATAAAATGATGAAAAATCAATAGATATCACTTCTTCTTTGATTTCCTTTTTTTCATGTAATCAAGTACTTTGAAAGGTGCTATCATCTCAAACGATTGCGAACAAGTCTAAAAAAAAAATGAATACGACTGAAGTCTTAAAGAGTACTCAAGGAAACTCTATGATATAGTTTTTGGAATATTTCTACATTCTACATTGTATAACAGAAAAAAAAACTTATATTTCGTTTTGAAAATCGTAAGTGTAGAAGTGATTCTACATCAAAAAATACGAGCTATTTCCAACCGAAAACTCTGGAAAACGGATGTCAGAATCATTAACCTAGGAAGTAAATCAAAATTTAGTTTGCAGTTATATAATATTTACAAAAAGGTTACATGAGACGTACTATTATCGGTTAATAAAATCATACTGTCAACAACCGTATAAATGAACAATCAAACAAGAGGAAAAAAGTTTCTGTGAATCTTGATTGATGTTTGCAAAGAATCACAAAATCTTATGATGTCAACAATATCAAGGAATATTTAACTCAGACGGCTATAATAAAAATGAATGGTCATCATGTACAGTACCATTTTTGGCTGTCTCAGTGACTGTAATTATCATTCGAGGAGCAAGTGCGCTATTATCCCAATCCTGGAATTCCGACATTAGTTAAGACTATTCATTATCATTATGATAATACTATATATTTTATTCTAATTAATTTACTACGTATGTTTCCACCGATACAAGGAAAAATTGAACAGAGAAAAAATTACAAGAACTAATTATGATATCTGATTCAGACAAAAGCATGATGAGATTTTGTCACAAGACATACAATTAATGTTTTATACAATAAATGAAACTAATCAATGAAGACAAAAAAATCACAGAATTAATCATTTTCATCGGGTATAGATATACGTGCTTTCTTTTTCGCTGGACGTTGATGATCAATTGATGAACCTTGAACAAATTCTGCTGCTTCGTGTTTTAATAAATCTATTTCACTTTCATCTGTTGAATTATTTTCATCATCATCATCATGAGAATGTCGAGTTTTTTTACGTGGTTTCCAATCATTATCAGGATCCATTTGAGAACCCGCTAAAGTATACATTGAACCTACATGAAAGCAATACCAAAACAAAATCATATACCTGTTCGATCCATGCGTGTGCTATCATCAAGATTTTCATCATCAATAAAACTATCATTATAATCATATTCATTTGGTAATCCATCATCATCATCATCTTCTTCTTCATCATCCTTTCCTAGGAAAAAAAATATTCGTTTCGAATATGTCAAACAAAATTCTTTAGCTTTACCTTTACGTTTTGATGTTCGTCGTTTAGTTTTATTTATTGATGATTGTTTTTGAGTATGAATATATTCATTAAAATGATCAGGATTTTTTCTATAACAATCACTTCCATATGGACATTCAGGTTTTTTATCATCGGTATCATTTTCTTTATTATCCCAATCTGGATCACCAGGATGAATAGCTTCTTGACGATGAGCTGGATTCTTTCTATAGCAAAATTTTCCATATGGACATCGTTCTCGTTTTATTGATTTATTAACTATTGATGACATTTGATTGCTTTGATCTACAATGCACCGATAATAGAAATAATAATTTTGTTTTCAAAATAAGTTAACCTACCATTTGGAGTAACTGTTGTTGTAGTTGGTTCTTCATTAGATTCTTCATCATCTTCGTACACAATTCCTTCAGCTTTCTTTCGTCCAATATCTAACAAAAATCAATCAACTAAACATTTTTGTTATTGATAAGATGTTGATAATTCGAACTTTGAGCAGAATTGTTTTTTCTCGTTATGGTTGAATAGAGCTCGTCAAGTTAACTATCACAGCTGATTAGAAGGCTTTTAGAAAAGATGTTTGTCCATTGTTGACCTACTAGAAAGTATTTTCGATGAGTCAAAAGCTATGAGTTACGATACTCTTTTCGAATACGAGCTTATAAATTTTCTACCCGTTTTTATTCGAGAGTAGTAAAATAGTATTTGAAAAGTCGAAAACATTGGTGTGGGTGGAAAAAATTTGTATTTTCACTATTGCGATCCAAAACTAAAAGTTGCAGTCTTCATTTGTAGATCGAAAGGGACTCTGAAAAATATACTATTTGAAGCCTTTTTTGTCTTTCGACAAAACATCTCGATTTTTGTTTTTGGGTAAATTCTTATTATTAAAAAATCGACAATCGTTTTACGTTGAAAGGAGCTCTTGAAAAAATGCTTGAATAAAATCTACAACTGAATTCAATATATAATTTTTTTTAGAGAAGTGTTCGTTCTACAAAATGACCAAGTCCAAAAAGTTTTAGCATGTTCGAAAAGGTACGTATAAGAGAACGAAAAATCTGTTAGCTTACCAATCGGAATAATTTTTTAGATCTTTCCAAAAGTCAATCACTACACTTGAATAAAAAACAGACACAATATTTCTTACAAAGGGACTCATCATATAAATAATAATCCTAAAAGGTGTCGTGTCATCTGGGGTTTTTCTCAAGCTACAGTTATTTTAATGAATTTTCAACCTATCGTAGGAGATCACAAGAAAACTCGTAATAGGGAACTTCAATTTAGCGTTTATGGCATGAATTCTTGAAGGATTTTCATCTGTACTATGAGTCTTACCTATGGGCTCAAACGGAGATTATTAGTCGAATGGATTCCTTCGTTAACAGCACAAATCTGATTATAGAAAAACAAACAATGAGAGAGTGTAGGATCGAAATTTCAAGTAAATTAATTTTGAGTATACTATTTGATACAGGTTTTTGCGCTGATTCTGAATATGATATTCGTTTTTTTGTGAACCCTAGTTATGATAGTGAAAGTGTTGAGATAGGAACTCGTATTTCTTGCCGTTTCGCTATCGTAATAAAAAAAATCGATTTTCTTGAAACATTTTTTTCTAATTATGTAACAAATTAAATCAAATTCAAACAAATATTGTGATTTGATGCTTTTGGTGTGTTCCAATTTTTATACACTTTTCTGCTTTTTTGAAACCTAAGCCTCACTACAAAAACATATCGATAATAACATTGCTCAAATTTCAAATTGTCAACACAGTACATTTCTGATCTCTTGCATTCAAAAATATTGAAGTACTTACATGTTCGATATTTCGATGGCGATGGAGTAGGTTTAGTAGGTGTAACAGTTGATTTTCCTTTGCCTCGTCCTTTAGGAGTTTTAGCTTCGGGTATTGAACTAGTAGACATCCATACTGGTAAATCACGAGCTGTATGTAATATAATACCACCTTCTGGTTCTAAATTTGAATCTTTATTATTCGGAGATTTTTCTTTATCATGACTTCTAATAGGTGAGAGTTCTTTTTCTTTAACTGGTGAAGATTCTTTTTCTTGTATTGATGAAGATTCATCTTCTTGTTGCATTGGTGATTTTAATATTGTTGATGAATTAATTTGTTCGTCCTGTTCATCTTTTGATTTAATTGATATACGATAAAAATATTCATTTGGTAATAAACCAATTTCATCATTATCATTCAATTGAAATTCTTGATCTTTTGTTAATGTAATTAATTGATTTGTATTTGTTCTATAAAATGTTGGATTATGATGAATTGGTTTAATCCATAAAGTTCCATCGGATTTAACATATAATTCAGCATGATTACGAGAAATTTTTTTATCCAAACAACCAATATTTGCTGTACGACCGATTGTTGTTACAGTTGTATCATCAAGAATAAGTCGATTACCTTTATCTAACGGTATTAATTCTATTAAAGACATTTTTATTTTATTATCTAAGAAACAAAAAATTAAAATTTTCTAGGGCTTTTTATTTAATTGAATATGTCATTACAAAACTAAGGTGTAAGATACGTGTTTATACATTCGTTCAATGAAAATTTTGTTGAATAATATAGTAATGCAATAATTTAGATGTCGCTGAAAAATTGAAATTTCATCAAACCAATGAAATTACAATAAATTTTTAATAAAAGAAAAACTTTTTTCGTGATTGAAACTATCATCTATTATATTCGAACTTATATTAAAGACAAATCTTAAAAGAACTAAATTTTTGTTTTCATTTTTTTTTAATGGCTGAACGAAAACGTCTTTCAGAAACAGATCAATCTCCAAATAAGAATTCTAAAAGAAGAAAACTTAATCAAACAACATTATCAATGGATACATCCACACTTCCTTTATGTAAATATGGCGCTAAATGTTATCGAAAACATCCTGATCATTTACGAGATTATCGTCATCCATCAACAGAACAAAAAGTCGAAGATGAGGATTTTACATCTAAAACAAGTGATTCTTCTCCTGTGTCATCTCCACCACCAACAATTACGAATTCATGTTCATCATCACCAATAAAACAACTAACAACATCGAATAATTCTACTATAAGTTTAATGGAATTGATGGAATTAAGTGGTGAAAAATTACTTTCACACCTTTATCAAATGGAGTTTCCATCGGATCTATATGAATTTTGGAAATTTTGTTCAAATATGAATAAAAATAATCCACGAGGTGAGGAAGAAGTGAAATGTTATAAGAAGGCTTTGATGACTAATAGACATGTGACTAGGCATATTTCAACCATATCTTATTGATTATGAACTGTTGTGTTTAATAAGAGATTAAAAATCGATCTAAACTCATTAACTGTAGTTTTTTTTGATTGATTCTAGTACACAGTCTAGCAGGGTTACCGAAATCCTTCTTTTCTCATTCTCTAGTCACATTGTGCTAATTCAATTTTCTACCGATGAAAAAAATCTTCTGTCGCGTAATTCAGTAAATCAGGGCAGTTTTTTTTTCATTTAGTCCAAAAATGACCCAAACAGTTCAAGTGCATTCCTATTTATGTCACCCCCATGTTGACCAACTGACGAAAGAACCTCCGCAGATGCCTCATTCCTATTTCAATGATATTTTGTCTATATATGCAACATAGTGTTCTAATAAAAACTACAATAGGATTTATGTTTCTATTAATATTTAACTAAATCATTGGTTTCTTTTGTAGAGGGCACAGATTTTTGCAAAACGCGTACTTTCGAATTTTGATCTGAAAGTTTGTGCATATAAAGAACTCAACTAGAATAGCCTGCATAACACATCTCCCATCTAATGATTACTAAAATTCAAAAACCAGCATGAACAAAACAAGAAATTTTCAACAATATAACAAACATTTATTTTCAAAGTAAAATAATTGTTTAGAAAGCCAATGAGATTGTATACGTAATGTATTGTAAGCCGAAGTTTTAAAAATCGTTTAAAAAGCTTGAAAAAGATGAAATAAATTTATCAAAACAACAATTGATGAAAGTAACCTAAATCACGATTTTTGTTTTTTTTTTTCTCATATCGACAGCAGGAAGTGCAGATACTTTTGATTGTTTCATTAGTTTCAAATATACTTATTGTTAACATAGTGATGAGAAAAAATGTTTATTTAAGCAAAAAAATTCCAAAAAATGTTCGAAAAGTTGGCTTCAGTCTTCCTTCATTTATTTTTATTTAATCAAAATAATACTTCTTTTAATACAATAACAATATTACTAGAAAAATAGTATTCTACGACTCGTTTAGATATATTAAAAAATTTACTCAATTTGGAATTAGTGGGCCCATTTGAAATTCTTGATAATGCTTTGAAACAATGCAAAACAATACCTAATGTTCATTTACATTATCGATATTATTATGATACACCTGAATTTATGACTCTCATTCGAACTCTTGATAAATCTAGTCAATTTCATATTGGTTATTATAGGTAAGTTTATATTTATATATTCAACAAACTATAGATAGATCGATTTTTGATTTGTGAATCATAAATATTTAATATTATTTTTATTTAGAGATTCACCTGATGAACTACCATCCTTTCTTGCTTCTAATAATGCAAGTGAGAATAATCGTTTTAAAATTTGTGGAGATAATATATTCGCTGCAATTTAGTAAGTAAAACTTATATGAATAATGTAATTTTTTCTTTCGTTTTTCGTTTCGATTTAGTTTATATGCTCGTTCTATTCTCAAATCAAATTCTAAAACTGATTTACAAAATTTCCTAACTGATCTAGAAACTTATGCAAAAAAACATAAATATTCGCTTGATGAAATAACACCAAAAGTTAATGCTCGAAAGAAAAAAATTAATTGTACATTATTGAATTCTTTGGGAATGGTTGTTCCTTTCGAAAATGATATTGGTTATCGTCCTGTTCCATTCACTAAAGGTTAGTAAACTAATATTCTTTAAAAAAAGATTTTCTCAGACTACTTAGGGCATACGAAAAGTCGTGTCGGAAGGTATTTTGATTTCTTATAAAAACTTATAAGTTTTTCTCAATATGAGCTGATAGTAAAAACAATACTTGACATTTCTCTGATATTTGTTCATTCAAGGAATATTATAATAATAAAATTTCGATAAAAACTGTTTATAATGATATGTGATGTTAATATTAGATCACATTAGAGATATGTAGAGTTACTCTACTCTACTCGTTAGGCTAGTATAGAGTAAACTCTAGAAAATTTTTTCTCAGTCAAGGTATAGAGAAAGAAAAATGTTTACCGTGCATGCCTCTAGATCACATTTTACGTTTATTATGTATCCTTTTTTTTTGATGTTCTCTTTTCTTCTGATCTCGTTTCATGACTTGTCGTTTATACACATTAGGGTATACAAAAAATTATTTCGATACAACAAGAACGAAGTTGAAAAACAAATTCATCAAGTTCTTGCATAAGTAATTCTCCGGATGTAGCACCATGTAGTTTTGAATTATTCAAACAAAAAACGAAGCGATTCTAAATAATTGCATTGTGCTGTAAACCAGCTCATGAATTCTCTGAATAATGAGGAGCATTGAAAAATGTTCAATGAATTCCATTGAGTGTGAATAACTGAAATGATTATTTCGACCATTAAATGAAAATAAAAATTTGATGAAGCTGTTTCTGTATTTCTGTTTTGTTCTATCAATCTCGCTTTTTCTACACTCTAATATGTATAGATGTATAGATATTAGAGGAGACAAGAAAAAATAAAACAGCAAGAAAAGGATTTACATTAGAACCCTATGAAATCCAACTTTTTGGCTCCAATTTCGAGAAATCCTCTTGAAACTTATTATTGTGCATTAATTAACAATTGAAGAATAAACTTGATCGTTTTACTTATGTAACTTCGACAGAGCCACGTTTCGAAGTCTGACATAGATTTTTGATAAATATCGAAGAAAATATGATCTAATATTACCATAATAACGAACAGCTCTTATCTAAATTTTATTATTATAATGTCAGTTGAAGAATGATGCACTACTACAAAAATGTAGATCATTGTTTTTATTATTATATTATCGAGACAAAAGTTTTTTTAACGCTTTTTTTCATAAGGAATTAAAATACGTTCAACCCTGCTTTTGGTATCTTCTAACTCATAGTTCTATATTAATTTAGATCAATTTAAAAAAGTTTGTGATAAATTTTGCAATAGTTCATCAGAAGCATTAAGTCAAGCAGCTGAAGATGAATTACAACATGTTATAACATGTATACAATTTGCAAATGATGAGTGTGATTATGGTGAAGGTTTAGAATTCGGTTTAAATTTATTTTTATATGGTTCACCAAAACTTCATTCACGTATTATGAATCTTTTACCACTTGCATATAAATTACTTCAACGAAATCTTTATGGACAAATTATCACAGATCATATATCATTAGGTCGTTCAAATTTAATTCAAGATTTAAATCAAATAGAAAAAAACAAATAATTTAGTTTTCTGTCAAATGATTTTTGTATATGCTTATTATTTGTTCATTGTCATTTAATAATTTTCTATGTTTACTGTAAAATACTTGAGATTGATATGGACGTGAAATATACGATAGTTGAAGATATAAATCAGCTTGAAGACGTTTAAGATGTATATGATCAATATCATTTTTTTCTTGAATAAGATATCGATCAAAATAATCAATAAGTTTTGTATAAATTTTAGCTTGATCTTGTTCAAGTTGATTTACATAAGATTGTGTTAAATGATCGAACAACTCATCCGTTTCCATAGGCATACTTCGATGATAATGAACAAGATGTCCAATTGATTTTCTATGATTTGTAATTAGTTCTGAAAGCAAAAAACGAAAATTTAATTTAAAAGAATAAATACAAATGAATGATCTACGAAAATTGGTCGCGACGAAAAACAATGGATATAAGAATTGGCATTTATACCTTCGCGCTAATTTATTTTTCTTTTAACTATTATTTGTTGCAAGTGTTCTGAAGATATAAGATTCCTACATCAATACTTAAACCTTTTTAGTTTTATGAGAGAATTTCTTCAACGGATTAATAGATTTTGAGCCGTGACCATGTGTATCATGGAGACCAAAATGAGCTATGGATACCGTAAAAGAGAGTCCACTCCCTTAGTCTATTACTGCTGAGATACTATACTTTATCAATAGTTTTAAACTAAATACTGCGGTTCTCTCTCAGAAGAACCGATTGTCGAATTTCAACTCAAACTTTGCACACAGACAGACCTTCATGAAACAACTATCAAAGGTGGTATCTCTCATTCGAGATGAGACTCTAGTCATTACCAAGGACATATTGAGACTAAACGAAAACCAGAAGAATTCTTCATGATAAAATTACTACTTCTATCATAGAGTTACTTCTACGTAAATCATTCAAAAAAGGCTAGTATTTCTAGATTTAGATTATGAACAATTGTTGTTTAATGGAATTAAACATGATTTTTGCAACTTGTACACAAAAGTACATCAGAAACTCTACATTTCATTGCGAAATATCTATAATTAAACTTTTTAATCTACTCTCCGTCAAGTTTTTATTCATAAAACTTAGACTGCATTTTGATAATCTAAATGTAGAAATACTAGCCGTTCTTTTGCCTACTTTGTGTGCAATGAGCCTGTTATAAAAATAATAATTTTTTTTTACTAACACTGAAAAGGTCCAATGTCTGGCTATAGTATCTCATATCATCGCACCGCTCACAACCAAACAAAAAACTTATACAAAAGAAAAACTAGCGGAAGGCTATAAATCATCGAAAAGTTGTCACTTCCTTCAAAGGAATATCAAAAAAGCTGTCAGCACCGATGAATAAAATACACTGGCATGAAAAAAAAAGAATACAAAACACTATTAGTAAACTGAAAATCAAGACAAAGAAGTGCGTGTTTCAATACTAAAGATGGCTTGAAAAACCTGATTAAGTAGTAACGAATGAACTGTTTATGACACGTTGTTCATGTAAAGAGTTACTTTGCCACTTAAATTAGCTTTAATAGTAGCCAAATGCTTAATAGTACTACAAACTTGAACTCTTTTTTTTTGTAAAGCCATCGACACAATAGAAGACTCGGGGTCTTCTATTGTGTCTTATCGTTCATAAGTTAAAAGGGGGTCTTTTATTATGTTCCTAAAAAAAGTCATATTTTTTGGCAGTTCCGCCAGCAAATCTTAGTTTCACTTGATTTTTGTCCAGTATATCGTTAGTAAATTAATTTGCTTCACTTATTTCACATGTATAGAATAAAAAAGAAACGGATATTACCTTGTGAAAAAAGAAAGAACATTGTTGGTAAGAAGTGCTCTTAGAACAATATGGTCAACGTAACCTAGCATTTTCGTACGATATCCAGTAGCGTTCCTTTTTGTCGAGGCTAAGACCTATCACGGGCAAATTTTATCTTTTTAATAACTAAATACATGTAAAAAAGAAACTTATTTTTTTTATCGAACTCATTTAATTCAGTTGCCTATGTGGAGATTTGATTAGTATAGGTGGAATTCGTTCATAGTGAATTCTTCCACTAGCATAGTTATTAGTCTCAAGCTAACTTGAATAAATAAGGTTATCTTGTGAAGAAACCATTTATGGAAAATCAGCAGTTGAATACACACTCCATATTTGCTTTTGTGTCTGTTTTGAAAAATGCCTTGAATCTTATTGAGAAAAGAAATGCGTTCTCAAACTCAAAAGAAGTACTCACATATAAAACCACCACGTATATACATGAAGTTATGTTTGCTTCAATTAGGAAAGACTGTTTTGTGATACAAACGCTTCTGATTTTCTAGAAGAAAATAAAAGATGAAGAGATCATTTAATTAATACACAGCAGCATTTTACCTAATCTGTTACTATTTTTATAAAGGTTCTTCATGTGTTACACGCACGCATGTGCACTGTGTTCATCAGATCCTATGACCATGAAAGCATGTTTTCCGTGTATAGAACCTGAAGAATGTTTTCAGAGTAAGCTGTAAACGAGAACTAAAATGATTCCACGATATGTTTTTAACCAAGAAACGCAATCTTTCATAGACAGATGTTTCCTATTAGCTGTTTCTCAAGATTTTATTCGCTGGGATTTGACACTTCGTTATAAGGACGGAAGCAAAATATTGTTCATATTGAATCTAGATATAATTAAGGACTTAAATACTAATAATGTCAATAAACTCCAGAACTATTTCAAAATATCGTTTTTTTTAGGGGGGTCTTCTATTATGTCTTTTGCGTCATTTATTCAAGGGGGTCTTCTAATGTGTCGACGGCTTTACAAAACTGAAAGAGCTTTTGTTTTTATATGGTGCTATCATCAAAATTCGAAGAACTAATCGGAATTTTTAAACTAATATTTTTTTAATTTTGTGTTCAGCTGAAGACTTTAATCAAAAAGCTTTAGTCCTATTATCAGAAATTTCTCGACTATGATTCTTCGCATCGATCAATTTTCACATTGTGCAGATGAATACAACTTAGAATACTCATTTACATGATTAGCATTATATATATGAAAGAAATCTGTTGTTTTAATAGTTCTTTTATTATTAAACTTCATATTACAGTTTTGATCAAATCTTTTTGAAGTAAAGAAAATCATCACACAAAAATCTTTATTTTTTCATTTTGTTTCTGTCAATAATTGTCAGACGCAACTGAAATTGACCTTTGTTCAACAGACATGACTTGCTTTGATTTTGCATCCTGTCATTACAATATAAAGACAAAGATTTACAACTTTGAACATATATTCCTCATATAATCTTACAAATCCTAATATAAAACCATCTATGTATTAGTATATGGTATCATTGCTATTTGTTGCACATCAAGACAAAAAGTTTGATGAATGTTCTTTACACAAAAGAGATTTTCAAATTTCAGTTAATATAGAAAACGTGTCTAGTATTTAATGGGTATTCACTGTATGGAATCATGACAGATAGCATAATATTACTAAATATCAAAGTCAAATTAATCTAATGTATAAAGAGATTGCTGATAGTCAAAAAGATACGGTAGGTTTTACATTTAGAAGAGAGACTATCTTGCTTGTATAAAATACCTATTGTAGATGGATAATAAATTTTTTCATTTTAATAAATTATATATTTATATCGTGCTTATGAGTTTTCTAAACTATGATAGATTAAAATGAAACAAAGTTGTCCAGATATATTATGTAATCATTGGATGTTATCATAAGTTTACTTTAAAAGCTAGATACATACTCGGAATAATCGACCAAATAAGTTCCAATTGTTCTAATGTCAAATGAGGTTCATTAAGTTGTTCAATAGCTTGACAAATAAATTGATATGATTCATCCAAACGATTCATTTGAAAAGCCATATTCGCTTTCCAAAAATATTCTTCAACAGTATTCATTATTTTATTATTTAACTATTTATATTCGTTTTCTTTGTTTACATCTATAGGAAAAACTTTCGATGATCTATCTATATATATATATATGTATTTAAAAATAAGCAAAACAGACCACGTGTGTGTTATTGTTGCTAGTCCATCTGATTCACTATATGTTTGCCTAGCAGACAGAATGGCACACTGAACTTAATTCGTTATTTTTCTCCTTTTTTCTTTTCTATTTTATCGAGAGAATAAACTTTCTTTTAGTTCGCAACGAACAAATCAGTTTGGATTTATAGTTTGATGATAAATAGAAAAAGAAAACATAAACAATGATGTCGACATCAATCGACCCTCATAATAGTAGTCATAATAGTAATGGACGATCATTGAGAATTGTTTCAACAAATCGACTCTTTACCAAAGTCAGAACCGAACAACCATCCGAACCAAGTATTCTTGTTTTTTTCTTATTCTTGTTTTTATATAGTTTATTTGAATAAATAAATAATTTAGTTTTATCATCAATAATGGATGCAACAAGTTTATTTTCTGATCATCATCATCATCATCATCATCCTCTCGATGTATTTCCAAAAGATGAACCAATACTTGATGACACAACAATAATAACATCATCATCATCACCACCATCATTTGTTGATTTTCATCAAAATTTATCAACATCAACATCAACATCAACATTATCATCACCAACATCATTTTCACCATTACAACATGATCATAGTTATGGTGTATCAACAAATTCTTCGTCATTACTTCCATCACCATCATCACCTGATACATTAACATCATCTAATATAAATATTCAAAATTCAACAAATACAAATTCAAAGTCTTCTGTTGTTGTTACATGGCCACAAATAAATTGTCGAGCTTTACGACCAGATGATTACCATATGTTACTTGAGTTATTATCATCAAATACAAATGCTGATTCACCACCAATTTTTTTTGGTTCAGCACTTATTGATCCATCAACACCAACACCATATTCAGATGCAACACGTACACAACCAAAAAAACGTGTACGTCCTGGTCATGTTAAACGACCAATGAATGCATTTATGGTTTTTTCACAAATTGAACGTCGAAAAATGGTTCAGCTAGCACCACATCTACCGAATGCTGATATAAGCAAGTAAGTCAGAGTTTTTTTTTTCTTCTACTGCTATTTTATATTTACAAATATTCTAGATGTTGTGGAGCAAAATGGAAACGAATGTCATTACGTGAACGACAACCATATATGGAAGAATCAGAACGATTGAAACATCTTCATGCACGACAATATCCTACATACAAAGTAATTATTTTCTTCAGTTTAATCCTATATACATTTCGCTTCTGATGATTATCTGTGATTTAATTCATTTTATATTTTGTTCTATAAAAAGAAAAATATGAGAAGTTCTTGATTTAAATTAAACTTTTTAAGAATAGAACAGACAGTAGAATCCATTTATCTTGAAGTTGATAACATTTTATGAACTAAATTCGAAGAACATAAAAACATTGGAAACTCCGGTATGAGAAAATGAATAAACTCTTTTTTTTTATATTCTTTAATCTTGCGCGAACCTTAAATTTACAAGAAAAAAACCATCAAAACATCGTTTCAATAGTTCCATTTAACTTATAACTTTCGAAGAAATAATTTTTATTCATAATTTCAATTGCTATGTTTAAAACGAAAGAGTCGATAAACTCTTTCATCTTTCCTAAAATATTCTCGAATTCGAACTTAAACAGATTCCTAAATCATCTTACATGCATCTACACTTTTATCATATACACAAAACTGTCATCATAAACATATTTTTTTTCGATGAAATTCTGCTATTATTTTTTCTAGTACCAGCCACGAAAGCGATGCAAGACGAACTCAACAACAAATGTAGCTTCGCATTCGTCTTCAACTATTGCTTCATCATCATCATCACCACCACCATCTCCATCAAATAGAACAGTAACAATATCTTCCAAAATTTCAACTGCTAGTAAAGAACAACCACAAACACCACCCCCATCGCTACCACAATCATCATCCTCATCCTCATCATCATCGTCGACGTCGACATCAAATCCAAATGATCCAATATCACTATTAGTAGCAACATTATTCGATCAGAAATTAGCAATGTTTGCTAGTAATCTTCAACAATTTAATATTGATCATCTTCAATATCATTTTACACCACCAAATACTCAACTTTATCCAACACCAACACCAATGCCTTTTGATCCTGTGGCTTTTCTTGCTAAACAACAACAACATCGGCTTCTTTAAAGGAAAATTGATATAAATGCAAACATTTCATAGTTAAATACAAATCATAGATAAAAACAAACGTAGAGAAGATTGATTTGATTGATCGATAAAAGAAAATTTTACTTTCAGTTGAACGTTTTATTTTATTTTGTTGTGTGTGTTATGTGATTTCTTTTTTTTTCTTCACTTTGCTCTGGATATCTTGCTCTACAGTTTTATTTTGTTTTTTTTTTGTTTGTTTTGCACTATCTAGTAGTTCGAAGATATATCTTTAGCCATATGAAAAAAGAAAAGAGAGATATCTCATTTTTATAAGTACAATATAGAACGAAAAAAAAAAACTTTTCGAAAAGAAAACACTAGTATCAAATTTTAAACGAGCAAAGTTAAGATTATAAAATTCCATAATTTATGATTCCAATTGAAATGAAAGTTTGAACTATTGATCTTCTACAATAGGTATGGCTATCTCGTGTTTGTGATGAGAAACTCCTCATTAAGTTTGGCCTATTGAGAATAGAAAAAGTCTAGTGTCCATGCATTGTCCTTCTGGACTTGATTTTCACTGGATCTTTTGCCCTTGGTACAACATTTATGAAAATATCGAACAAACAAAGTTGACTTGAAACTTTGTTCATAAACAGCTTTTGAGATCAGTAGACTTTTCAAAAGATTTCAGTAAAAAAGAATGATTCCTTCTGGAAATATCAAATCTTCAAAAATTCATAACATCCCATAACGAAGGACAGACGAGTCTTCGAAAACTGATCTATACGAAAATTTATCGAGAAATTTCTGATTAAAGAACAAAAACTTACAGTTGTATAAAAAAAAAGCAGAACATCCTTTTAAGTGAGTGCGAGTGTGGGTCTTCTTGTTTCCTCACAGCGACACTTTCAGAGTGCTTTTTTTTCTTAAGTCTCTTTTTTTTATCAGAATTAACTAATTCCATGAAAACCTGTACATCTAAAAATCTTAGTTTTGGAAAGAAATTCCAGTTCATATGCTCCTTGGTAGCGATTTTTCAATAGCCTCTTGCATCTTTTTTTGTATTGCTTTAGCTTATTCACCTAAGTTGAAGCTTTCATTTACAAAAAAGCTTTTGTTCTTGTGTTATACATTTCTCGACCATTTTTCGCTTTCTTAGAACAGACAATCTAGTATTATTGAGGATTTAACATCTCAAGAAAGACTCACTCTTTTTGACAAAAATTTTTGGAATATTCTACCAGTTTAGAAAACTGTTTATGGACAATGTTACATGTCGAAACTCGTTTCTCTAATTTCTTTATAAATATCTTACCAAGAATAACAAATTTAATGAAATGGCCATAACTCTAGAAAGACAACACATAAGTAGGAAGTCTTCTTGGTTTCTTCTAGTCTCAACAGACTCTACGTAATGATGTATGCGTTGTCTCAAACGTGACTTATCACCTTTGGTAATTCTCGTTATAACAGTCGTAAAAGTAAAGATTGTTCGAAAAATCTACAAGAAATGATAATGCATTTAGTTCTCTAACAACTAAAGCTATTTATGCAAAGTCGTTTTATAGTTTTATTTGATATAATATCATATGCAGAGTCTGCCAAAGCTCCGTGGAAGTAGTAAACGTAAATGTCTCTTTAAAAGCATCCAAGCGATCTAGTTGTTTTTTCATAGTATGACACTATGTTCTTATCTGCTCTGTTTGTAGTCATCTATCAATATTTGTCATAAAGTTTCACTCACGCTTCCATGAGTTAGTATGCATTTTTGGTAGCGTTTTAGAGTTTGTACTACTTTAAAAGATTTTAATATGAGATATTTTGCCATGGTTTTGTACAATGTTGTTTGCAGTATAAAGCAAATTCCGCTTTATATGAGTGCACAGCCGTGAATTTCATCGACTTTTCGTTTATTGGTTATTTTAAAAACTTTAGAATATGACTGAATTTTTATTGTAGCAATTTTAAGGTAAGTGTCATAGTCAAAGAGCGTATGAAGTTGATAGGCATCGATATTTTTTTCCGACATAATATGAGTAGAAGTTTGAAATATAATCTAGAAAACTAATTTTAAAAAAAACATGAAAACCGTTTAGACTGTGGAAGAGCTTTTTACATTTATTTTCGTTCGGACATTTGGAACACTCTGTTTTCCACTTGAACTTCAAACAGATTAAAGTGAAAACTGTTTGTTTTAATATAGTTATGAAAACAAATTCAATCTAGTATTCAAACTTTTAGTTCTCATTCTTTTGGCTACAATTAATCAATGAGTTAATGTATTTTAGTCAATCTCGTTGCCCCATAATCAATGAATAAATATTTTGAAAATGATTATAATTTATCGTCAGTATATCATAACGACAAACTGTTCATTGGTCAGATCGAATAAAGAAAATCCTCCAAACTAATAAATTGCTTTTGAGTTGAGACTATGTACATTATGTAGAATCGATTGAGCTATGAATACTCTAAGAACATTTCAGGTTCTTAGCTTATTGCTGCTGAGATACTGAACTTTTACGATATTTGTTTAAAAGAATATCGTAACCCTTCTCAGAAACGCTAGAAATATTGATTTTCGAATTTCGATTTGAAACTTTGTGCAAAGATGACAGGCCTTGACAAGAATAGTTTTTTGTGAAAAGTTCAGTTCTTGTTGTTGCTCCTATCTTAAGATACACTTATGGTAAAAGGGTGTTTTTTTTTCTCACTCATAAATAGTGGTAAATTGGATGTTCTTATTTCAAAATAAAAGTAAATGAAAACGCCTGAAACTTTCACAATAAGCTAAGGATCGGGACTTTTTAGAGCATTCAAAACTTATTGGAATATACATGATGCACAGTCCCAACTCCAAAGCGATCAATTCTTCGTGAAACTTTACTCGTAAGACATTCTCTAATTTTTAAACACAAGTAACACTCATCATATGTTTGAAATTCTTTCTTTGAAAAGAAAATTCATCAACATATAACATTAAGCATTACTTCATGTGGTATAACGATTGACCATGTTTTATTTTGTATGTATTGTAATTTATAATATCAATTATTACTAATCATATCAAGATAAAAGCAAAATACTTAAACATTAAATAATGCGCATGATTCAAAATATAAAACGATAGCTGATTCATTGTCCGTATAATCATCACGTCTTTCTTTAGATAAGAAAAATGACCGTCACATTTATTTTCTTATGAACACATTCGTAATGCTCATTATCGATTTTTTCTTTTTTTTTGTGCATAGTTTTTAGAATATTGCAAAGAAAACAATAATAATAATTCACTTCTGTTGTCAATTTAAAATGGCTAAGAAATAAACATTTATCACAAAATATTCATTAATTTGCATATCAAAATGGTTTAAATTGATGTGAGAATTTACAAAACAATACTTTTCACAAAGCGAAAAAAAATGAACTTATTTTTCATAGACCTCCTTCTTCATACCATTTGTACTAAAATAAATAAAATCATTTGATTCGACGACAATACTCCTAGTTAACATGTTCACAACCTCGAATACGAAAAGATAAAACAACAAAAACAAAAAAGAAGAAGAAAACAACATAACACGTGCTGTTAAACACATATTCACTACCTTAATTCGTCTATATCCACTTTATTCATTCCTCCAACCCTTGTTATCCACTTTCATTTCCATCTTTAAACCGCATAGACGCACATACACACCTAAAACAGTCAAAGAAAACAAACGAACCATGTTTAATTCGAAAAATCTACATAATCCGTCAAAAAAATTAAATATCAACGTATCGACAAATTCAAAACAAACAACATGTAAATTATTTGTTGGTAATTTAGCTACACATACAACAAGTACACATCTTCAAACAATTTTTCATACATACGGACAAATAATTGAATGTGTTAAAGTACGTGAAAGATATGGTTTCGTTAGATTTTCAACGAATGACGAAGCACAACGTGCTTTAAATGCTTGTAATGGTTTACAATTAAATGGTTATCCAATGATTGTTGAATATGCACAAAATGAAATACTTATTAGTCCAAAATCACCACGTACAACATCAAATCGTTATCATACGAAAAAATTAACAACACCAATAAAAATAAATAATAATAATAATAATAATAATAATAATAATAATAATAATAATAATGATGATGTACCATTATTAACAGTTGATTCCAATAAATATTCATCATCAAATTTAAATCCTGACGCATCATCATTTACATTAACTTGTTCAACAAGTGATTATTATTCACAATCAGATCGACCATCAAGTCGTTCATCATCGGAACGATCAAATTGTTTATCACCATCAATACTTTCAGCAACATTACCATTATCGTATTCGGATGATGATGATAGTGATGATGATAATCATCATCAAAAGAATATTAATGATAAACGACAATCATTAAATATTTTTATTGGTGATAAAATTCTTAGTTTATATGGATCAAATGTTGATGCAAATAATAATCAAACATCAATATCATTTAATGGTAAAAATTTTGAAGTATTTATTTTAGTTAATAATAAGATTCTTTTTTTTGTTCATCTATAGGTCGTGATATTGATCCACGTGATCCAATATTTATTTGGAATTTTGTCTTTTATCCAGATGTGTCAATAAGTCCATTTGTAAAACGTTCTGATATAAAAACATTACTTGAACGTCGAGTTTCACTTTATTCACAATAATACTTCTTTATTATAAGCTGCTGGTCAGTAAGATATTCTAAATATGGTTGTGTGTCCTTATATTTATTAATAATGTTACTCGTTCTTTTGTCTTATATTCATGTTGTGTGCAATACAATATTTATCTTTCTCTTGCTCTATTTTCTTTTTTTTTTTCAAAATTAATTCCTTTATATACATATATTATATATATATATGTGCTGATTCTGAGTGCTCTGCACTTCTATTTTTCTCCTCAATATAAGTTGAGTTTGATATTCTGTAATCCGCCGCCGTTCTATTTTCTTTAAACTATCTATATTAATTCCTTCTTCTTTTTTTCTCTCTTGAATCAAAACTATAAAAACAATTTTCCTTTTTTTTTCTTTCTTCGACTTCTTTATTTTTTTTTTTATATACATTCGTCTACTTAGTAATTATAATATTTGTTGGTGTCTATGTGTGCGTCAGTGACGATGTATATTATGAAAATTATATTAAGAATATATACTGAATGTTCTTTTCATAGATAGGTATGATTTATTTTTTTTTTCATATTGATAACGCGTACAAGGTGTTTTTCTCATCATTCGATTTTTAAATAACTTCTGTTTCATAAACATAATTTACATGAAATAAAGCATAATATATAGGGTTGTAATTTTCAAATAAACATGTGGAATTATTCAGAGTTTAATGGAAAAATTTAAATCAAATTGCTTAATACAAAAAATTAAAAACTTCATTTCAAGTGGTCTTTTATTAAAAGAAGATAGGAATTATTATCATAACAGGCAATGTTTATCGGAACTCGATTCACTTGGGTCTAGCGTAACGAATAGAAGTCTAAGCCGATTGGTTGAGCCACTTCTGCCGTCAACATGACACAAAAGTAGATATTTGGCTTTTAAGATTTTCCTACGTCTCAAATTAGTTTTTAGAAATGTGTCCGTCTATTTTCTTATCAATAAGTTCTCTAGTATCGTTTTCTTTCTTTTTCATTTCAACATTGCTTGAAATAATGAAAATTATTGAAAAATTCATCGGAAAAATTAAGCAGCGAAAGACCCAAAAAAAAATCAAACATTGCCATTAACGCCCAACGGTGAATGCGCGAACTTATGCCTCTATTGACAAGGTAGACATTTGCATATGAGTGCATCCAGATGTAAAGGAGCATTAAGTAAAGTGCTAGATAAATAAAGGAGGTGACTTTACATATAAAAACCATTCGTTTTACATAAGGAAGTTTTTCACAGTATAAAACTTGATTTTTATGTTTATAGTGAAAAACCGATCTCAAATAAGGTACATTTGTCTGATTAATTTCAGTTTATATGTGCAATATTATTCATTTTGCTACAGAAATTTTATCAAAGTCTTTGATCGTTGACACTTTTTTAAGTTTATTTGTTTTTGTTCGCTAATACTTGCCTTAAAATTTTATTTTAAATTTTAAAATGATAATTGAGTACAGTGAATCAAATTTCGTTTGATCATATATTGATATATATCGAGTTTGGCGTATGCTATGAATGATTCATAGTCATGAATACTAGTATAATGATTTTGGCGATTTTTCTCAATATATCAATATTTTAAATAAAAAACTTAAAATTGACACCGTTTCAGTTTTTCATTATTCACAGTATTCTGTGTCTTCTTCATGTTTGAAATGATATATATATATACGTATTGGCTTATAAAAATTAATAAAAGTATTTACCATTAGTTATATTAGCGCGATTTCTATTGTCAAAAGCAATGAATATCTTATTATTCAAACAATATAATTTTAGTTAATTATATGTTCAGACTCACTTTCGAACTTTGTTTCTTCGTATCCAATACAGAGACATACAATCGTATACAGTAAGATATAGTGTCTATATGGGTTTCTTATTTCTCTCATGAGACCACTATTCGATTAATTATAATCCTTATCCTTAGGTATCCTTGTTTGTTATGCTACGTAGTCATGAGTACCATAGTTGCCATATGGTAATTATTTTACCAACAGACGCATGGAAATGTCTGGTTATATACTCTATCTTTTCAGTCTAGGAAAATTTTATTAAACAAACGAAGTTTTCAAATATTTTGAAGATTTTTGCGCAAGTTGACCAGATGTGAATGAGGTTGAGCATTTTATTTGAGAACTGGTGAGAGAAAAACAACAATGAAAGATTGGAAGTGGTCGAGAAAACGCAAATTTTTCAAAATGGTGGGGTCGAGATCACCTTGTCTCCCGCTTAGAATATCTTTAATAGTAACAAAAGAAAATTTTGTTTTTTGTGTTGATGTAAAAATGATTTACCAGAATAAAATAAACCAATATCCTTCGATATTTCAACGTCATAAACAACTGATTTTTAAATATTCTTTTGCATATCTTGTATGTTCTTCTTGAAAGCTAATATTTTATTGTTTCAAAGTTTTAGTGCATTTTTTTTTCTTCATAAGATAAAATATTTCGAAAAAGAGGGTAAAGTAACCAGTAGTGGGACCATTTGGCAATTGCCCATAAATTCAAAAGTTTGTTGTGATCTAATCAAGTGATCCAGAAAGATCAAATGACTATGTTTTTCATTAAGCCGACGATCCTAATGATGACAATTCAATAATAATTTTTGTTGTCAAAATACTCGTTATGCCACTTAAATTCGTCGATAGATCTATTTGTGCTTATGCATGTTTTTTGGCATAATCGATTCAAATATTTGAAAGTTGAATAGTACATTCGTGCAACAATATAAAAAAAGCCGATTAAGCTCATCTCTGGGCTCTGAGTAACCAATTTTTCTTCAATAAATGCCAGTTTTTGTAATGGCAATAAGTTTTAAGAAATTGTAGCTCAATCGATGTTCAATTATATATTGTTGCCAACATCGTAAAATAGTTTAATTGGAAAAAGACCCATAACTTAAAAATTTCTGGCTGTCACTGCAAAAAGACATTCTCTTTTTTTATCAATATTCTGACAATGTTTCTTTTGACTTTCGAATATGTTGAATCATTTATTTAGATATATTATTAGTTCATGGAAATGTTATGTTAAAAGATAGTATATCAAAGAAAAAACAACATCAATAATTTGTTGAAATCCACTAAAACTGAAAAGATTCATTTTGTGTTCGGTAATCAATCAAGAGTTAGAAAAGAAATGTGAATCGACAATCAGGATGCTCGCAAGACTCTAGTCTTCACACGTTACATGTCATTTGGATTTACTCAGAAAACAAACTGAATTGAATTTACAATTGAAAAATTGTGTTTAGCAGAGTTCTCTTTAGAATATCAATGCTTATTGTGCAACATGGTTTTACTTCTTTTGTGACCAATATCGTGCATACTTAACATTTTTTTTCATCGATGATTGATGATTAGATTTTTAACTTTTACCTGTTGTCATACCATTACAATGACATATAACAAATGATTATTTTATGTAATGTTCGATGTTTCATATCTCATTTATCAAAGACATTGAAGAAGTGTACATTTTTGTGTAAGGCCTTTTTTCTTTCTTCGTAAAATAATTTGTACTAATTGATCAGTTAGAAGCCATGTTTGCTTTTAGTGAATATGTTCATTTTATTATCATCATTTATTCATAAGAAATACAAAGTGAGAGAGAGAGATAGGAAGAGGGAAGACTCGCCCTTTGACTGATTTGATTGAATAGAACTTGCGTTGATTTGACAAGTAAGCGAGCAAGACGAGACATACAGAAAAAAAGAGCAAGAGAGAGAAAACGAGAAATCGCAGCACGATCTGTCAACATCAATCAAGTCCTGTTGTCATATACTTCGGTTTGTATAGAGCAGGCGGGCGAACGAAGCTCAAGTTCGCCAAACAGCCGATCATTTATAATAAGAGAAAAGAGAATGGGCCTACACAATCTGACATTTATTGTTCTGTCTGACATATACAAAAATTCAACTTGTTATGATCCTTTCTTTTTTTTCTCATTTTTTTGCATTCTTCACGCTATTGCTTCGATGACGTCAACTGACTCGTAGAACGATGACACTTTAATGTTTGCGAACATTGTATGTATGATTTATTGCTTCTGCATTATAACGATGGTTCATAAATCAGAAAACTCTCGTCTTTTCTCGTTTAGTTTCATTAATATTCTTTTTATTTTTATTTTTTTCGTTCGGATTAATCATCTTTTTCATCATTATCAAGCATTGCCGTTTGTAATTCGAAAATTTGCGCCGCTATCTCATTCATCATGTATATGTGTACGAGTCACATCTAATTACCCGTTCACATCCAACTCATACAGATGAGAAGCTACGGAACGTATCGTTGGGTCCAATAGATGATGAAGTACTCTTGTCGTCTATATATACATGGTCCGTATGTGTAATGAAAGAATGAGTAGTCATCCAAACTAAAAGATGCGATGATATGTTTCATAGGAGTAGTCTCATTTTTTTTTAAAACATGACAATCGATCTATAATGTCATCAAGCGATCAATCTTTTTTTATTTATGTTATATATCATTCAAATTCACATGGTGACTATCTGACTATTAGTCTTTGATTTTCTTTTTTAAAGCATCAATAATGGAAATCAGCATTCGTCGCAAACATCTAAAGCATAGTGTTCTTTCACGGTCAGAAAGATAGATGATGATCATCGCTGTCATCCTCTATTGTTGCTTGTCGTTTAGATGAGTGACATGTCTGCGCATGTGTTGTTTTTTGCGCGACAAATCGAACTCATTTATCTTCATCAACAATTAGATCGAAACAGGCAGCCAACCTGTCAGTATCTACAATCGTTGTCGCATCTCACTACTTTCATAGACTAATGATGTTGCTAGCTGCCAGTCAAAAACAAAACTACTACATACCATTCATCATCGAATCAATCCATCAAACAGTCACCTCGCTATTTTTTTCTTCTCCTTTTCTTCATCTTCATATCATATATCGGTCTTGCTTCGTTCGCTTTGACAGCAGTTTCTAATAATGATATATACTCTGAATTACAAAATATATCTGCAGTTCGAGTTTTATAAAAATTAAAGTCAATGTATTGTTCACGTAAAACAGCTTGCGATTAGGTTGCTTTAAAAATATTTATGTATAATTTTTACTACTTTCATGATTGACATGTGATTGACAGTTGAAAATAATCAATGTGACGCACAAGATTTTAAGCATTCTGTTTCTTTGTTCCTTTTTCGAATTTTCGAATGTCTACTTAGATATATATGCATATCTATCATAAGCCTTTAAGATTGATAGTCACTACAATGTATTTTTTTTTTCTCACATCACATTATTTATAATATATAGATTTGTCTATTCCTATCAATCAAAAAATAACATATATATATATATGCATTGGGCGGTAAGCATTTCTTTTGTTCTTTCTTTCTCTCTGACATTAAATCATCCATCACTCATTCATACAAATGATTTGTAAAAAAAAAAGAAACGGAGAAAGAACACCATTACTTTTTTCTTTTTTATTGTTCAGTTGTTATCCATTATAGAATGACGGACAACAGTAATACACCTGTTGATTTACGTATTAAACGAAAACATGTTGTTATCGAAGATGATAAATTATCAACAAAGAAAAAATCTCGTAATCATAATAATGAAAATCCACTTGACTTATCTATTAAATCACATCATCATTCGTCACAATATCCAATATTACCATCAACAATTCCTTTTTATAATCCAACGGGTTTATTTTTCAATTCATCTGCTTTACTCTATGATCTATTCTTAGCAAATCTAAATTCTTATTGTCAACAACAACAACAGCAAATAGCAAAAGTCGAATCGATTCCACCAAAGTCTAATAAACAACAAACAATAACTTCGTCTCGTCTGATAAAAGATAATTCAACAACAATTAAACATGAATCCTATGCTTGTTCATGTGGTGAAAGATATTCTAATGCTGCTCATCTTGTAAGTCATCTTAAAATAACTAATCATAGTGCACAATTATCATCAACACATGATGAAGTTGCTAAACTTGTTCGTGGACAAGATATTTGGTTGTCACGTGATACAAATCCAGCAAATCAAATTTTAAAATGTCTTCGTTGTTCATTATCATTTGAGACTTTACCTGATTTAACAGCACATATGATGAAAACAAATCATTTTACACAACTTTTAACCTCATCAAATTCATATCAACATTCCAGTTCTAAACATCAACAACATTCACCAACAAAAATCTCTAATACACATTCACGTTCTTTAACATGTCTTGTTTGTTCTCAACATTTTGCACGTGAAGTTGATCTCGTTGATCATTTGCAACGTTTACATCAAATACGTTTTAATTGTACAACATGTGGAATGTATTTCGAAAATGAAAATATTTATAAAGAACATTTAATAAAAGAAATGCACCATAGAAATGGAAAAACAAACAGAAATCGAGATTATTTTATTAATCAATGTAAAACATTGCAAAAACGATCAACTGTTGAAAACAAGTAATATTTTACAACAAATCCTTTCGAATAAATTTTATTAATTTATTTGTTTGCTCTTTTCTTTTTTAGATCTGAACAACGTAAATCTCGATCACCTATTGATAAAGAAGTTGAACGTGTTACATCGGATTTACTTGATCGTATTGTTCCTAAAGATGAAATAACAACTGGTGATGCTCTATCACTTTTACAAAATTTTGTTATTAAACAAACGCCATTATCAAATAGTTTAAATCAACATATACCAATTGACCTGAATAATAATTGTGATGATGAAAATAGTAAACAAAATATAATAAATTTATCCGATGAAAAATCACTATTATTAAATCAAACAGAATCAAATGCAAATCCATTAGCTTCATTAGAAAAAATGCTTACTTATTCAACAAATACAATTGATTTATCTTCAACATCTGTACATGATAGTGGACCTAAGAAAAAAAAGTTTGAAAAATATCGTTTATTTGCTGAAAAAATGATTCGATCTACTTTATCATAATTCTTCTAATTTTCGTTTTTTTTGTTTGATTGCTTTATAAAGATCTAATATCTTTTTTTTAAATACAATTTCTTCATAAATCAACAGTTACGATATATCTAGGAATTAAGAATTGTATATTATTGATAAGATGTCAAGAATCGATCAGTAGGTTAGTAAAAAGACTTTGGTGAAAAACGTCGAATGGAAAGATTTTTGTTGACTAATTATTCGAATCAATTTAGATATTATTGTTTCTGTTCAAATCAATTCATCGTCTTAAGTTCTAGTTTCTATAATTATCCCTTGAGAAAGTCAACTGAATAACTACAACGAAGATATCACACTCGTACTTCTATCATCGGCATTTTAATCTGCACTTAGGTTAGTTAAGAAAAATGCATTCAAAACTTTGTATTGATATATTCTTGTCTTTTTTGAAATTCACATGAATTTTCGAAGAAACTATAGTGAGTAGAAATTTAAATCGAGATATTTGCGGTTCGCTCATTATCTCCCTCTCCTATTACAGATCTTAGCAACCAATGTTAAAAGTACAAAGTCGTATTAAAAATAAGGTTTCGAAGATTGTAGAACATTCCAAAACCTTCCGTCAAATTTGAATGGTTGAAATACGTTTATCAATATTCTAAAAAAATTCTGTTTTTGATTTTTGCACCGATAGAGTACGGTGATGTGATCAATATCAAGAGTGATGTTTTGATTTCCCATAACAGTCATGTGACCAACACAAAAGCATGATCGGATTAAGCTCTAACATTCGGGAATAATCGATTTAAATCCTATTGAGTCCATTGAGATACATAATAGATCGTTAGAATCTTCTGTAGATTAACGGATGTGTGCAACAGGCTGATTTGTTCATCATAGTAATGAGAAGACTAATAATAAGAAGTTATGCAAATTTTAATAAAAGAAAAAGAAAATAAGCATCATGCAAATAGCAACAAGAACAGTAGAGAAAAAGGGCATCCGTCAAAAAAGAAGAAAACGAAATTTCTGTTCTAAATGTAGAAATAAAAAAAAGCAACATTTGCTGAGAATCGATTATCGTTGGAAAAGAATAATATAATCTATTACAGACTTTACAATTTTGCATATTTCTATGATTATAGCGAGGTTAGATAAGATATGTGGGTTGCACATTTAAGCTCCAAAGACGCCACATTAACAAGCTTTTTTGTATACAGATCGAAAATTACGCATTGGTTATCAGATAACAAATGAAATATATATATGTCAATCTTCTTCATAGTATGTTGAAACCGTTTTTCTTTTATTCTTAGTTGTCTCTTCGTTGAAATTGCATATTAAGATTGAGTGAATACTTGACACAGATTGTTTTATTACAAGTACAAGCTAGGGAAAATAAAACTTTAAGGTGTTTGCAGCCCACACCTGTTCTCTTTCTTTCTTTCTAGTAGACACTTCGTCCTTGTTGAACATCGCGCAGTTGTTCCACTATGAAGAAAAGAAGAGAAAAACAGTGCTTTTCTTTTTCTTTGTATCATGCTAAATGGCATTATAAAATTGCAAGAAAACGAATTTAATGTAGGTATCATTGATGACAAGACTCTATCTTCTACTGTCTTACCCAATGTTCTTCTAAAAGCACTAGAATAATCAGTTGAACTAAAGCTATCTTTAATGGTGATGTTGTAAGAAAAGTAGAAGGAAAGATGAAACAAAAACAAAAGAAAGAAGATTAGTATTAAAACTGGAAGAGAAGTCAAGTGTTGTGGTCTAGAGATTTCATTGAACGGTCTTCATTAACTTCTGTTTCGTCAATAGGGTTATTGATGTTGTTGCTAGTTTTAGCTGGTTGGCAGAAATAGATGAATGGAATGGACAAATTATTTTTATCCTGATGCAGTTTTTCTTTTCATTTTTGAAAATCTTCAATAGTTTGGATTAACATTCTTTTTTAATTGTGATCTCTCACGTGTTGTTGAAATGAATAAGTTATTTCCTTATGTACCGTTCTTTCAATTGTACCAATTGCTAATGCTTAATCGACAGCGGCATTTGACTCCTTTTTTATATTGTTTCACTATCAAACATAACGAATCAAGAGCGAAATGATCATCGCCACATTCGGCACAAGTAAAAGCATCTGTTTAATAGATATGTTGAACTCCTCCAATATATGGTATTAAACAGTTTCGACAATATACCGATGATCGATACTTGTCACTCATATGATTAAGTTTCCAGCAGGTCTTACAATAAGTAAAACTATATCTGGCAAGAAAGTTAATGAGAGACATATTATATTGACCAATTTCTAGCCAACCTAGTGTTAGTGCTGTTTGACATTGATCGAAATTTCAAATGCTAACACGAAAATCATAAGGTGTGTGCTGAGGATGTTGATATCAAATTGTAGAAATCCAATAGGTGTCAGCATTGTCTTCATAATTTCCTTGGAAGCATCTTCTTCTTTAACACCCATCGATGCACGACGAGCCACCAAAGTAAAACAACCAGGCAGCAAGTAAGGCTTAATAACGCCCGTCTTCTTATCATCAAACCCATTAAGCCAGGGCCAATTGAATGGAGTAATAAATCATTCTTACCATCTACCACAAACTGGAATTTTTGGTCACCTGCTTGTGTACACACCGAGAGTTTTTAATACGAAGCTGCTTATCCTTAAAATTTTTTAAGGATAATATTAACTTGTGTACTAGATAGGATGTCGATAGAGTCGATAGAGGAATCGAATATGATAAAAAAAGACGAAAAATATATGGAGATTGTTCGTTTCAGTACATTAATGTTGAAGAAATAATGACGCTGCTAAAACACTTGAGTACTGTATTCTTGAAATAGTTGGTTGTAAGATTACTGTTCGATTTTTCTAAGACGTTTCATCATATGTTAATGTGTATCACCACTATTATTGAAGCTGCTATTTGAAGGACATCATGAGGTGGGTGTAGAGATGAGAATATTTTGCTGTTGATTCATCGATGGATGTACCTTTGAATATTGTTGCTGGTAATGATTCATAAGTGGAGGGATTGGTGATATATTTGCTTGTAGTAGAAGGGTAGAAGAACCGCAATCTTATGAATGATGAGATGGGCATGGCGAATACACGTGATCCTGTTTGTCAACAAAATATTGCGTTTGTTGAATCAAGACAAGATTAATATGATGAAGTTCTTTGAAAAATCGATTGAAGATTGTTGCTAGACTATGTGGAAGGACCTATTTGAAGTCCATCTTCATCGTTTAGTCGTAAGTAAGAGAGGAAAAGTAAAAAAGTATAGTGGTGAATAAATCAAAAGGCAATGGAAAGGAAAGAAAATAATATGTAACTTATCGCTAGAATGAAAAAAAGCTGTTAGCGCAATCCCTTGCGGGATTAAAAATGTGAAACACGATGGATCTATTGTTACTAATTAAATGGAAATCATTTTGTTCCATTTCTTTGCGATACATTTGCAGCTAATCATTTATCTGATGCTTTAGAACTAGTTTTTCTGTCACGGTCTGTAACAGGTCCAAAGCCTTGTCTGTCACGGTCTGTGACGGGTCCAGAGTCGTGTCTGTCACGGTCCATGACGGGTCTAGAATCTGTCTGCCACGGTCTGTGATGGATCCAGAGCCCTGTCTGTCACGATCTGTGATGGGTCACGTGAGTATCTGTCACGGTCTGTGATGGATCACGGAAGTATCTGTCACGATCTGTGGGGGGAGGGGGGTCCAAATTTCTACCCCTAAACACTTCAACACTCCTTGGAGATCGTGTTTCACAAAAGAAGAACGAAATTTAGCAATCACATGAGTATTAATATAGATATTACCTATCATCCATTAGGATCGATTTCGCTCTACCAAACCTTTTAGAACGGATATAATATTCAATTAATGACTGTCATCAGTAGGATGAGTCACTGACTCACATACGCAATCAGTTATAAGACGTTCCATTTGTATCCGGCGATCGCATTTAAATGATACCAGTCAGACTCCCATTGCCTAGAGCGATACAGTGCCATGAGTGGAACTGCCCCATTGTGGTAGAGTGCGACATGTTTCACTGCTAGTATTTGAAAGAGGCTCACCATGAAATCATGTGTCATTTAGCGAGGCAGATTTCAATGATTTCCTGACACTATATAGTCCTAGATTACGTTGAATATGAACAGTGTCTATCGATCGGATCTAATTAGTTCCGATTTTATAAATTCAACCAAAATACAGTGATTCGATATGCCAATTTCAAAATAAAATAGTGTAAAGAACAGAAACGCGCTAGAAAGTTACCAATCCAATCTGTCCAACAACATTTGATGCATTGAGGTTGATCTAGGTGGGTTGGAAAGAACTTGATATTGATTTCATGCAAGAAAGGCTTGAATATTTACGTAAAGTATTCTATTTAAATTAAGTGCAGTATCTTCTGAGAGGAAACTTAGAATTACTTATTTTTTCAGCTGTGACATATGGGAAATGAAAAAAAACTTGCATACATTTTGTCGCACCGTTTTATATATCACCAGATAAAACAAAGCATCAACTCTTCTTTTCATAAGTATGAGATACAGTAGCACAACTGTCGATAAGATTGATAAGACGAATAGGATCAAAATTTTGCAACATTTTACTTCTTTAATAGCTTGAAAATTAATCACCTCGATAAATTCGTATATTTTTTGTTGTATTTTTATATAGAGTATTTATTGAGAATATTCAAGCAAATAAAAACGATGATTAAATGTACAAAAAAAAAGAAGCGTAAAAGCCAAAGAGCATTATATTGATTGTGGCAAAATATACAGAGAAAAAACTGAACGCAACAATGAAGAATTAGGAGACTAGCTACGAATAAAACCTTCACCATTAATTAATAATCTTAGGTAAATTAGTTGTGTTAGATTAAAGCTTTATCGTGTAAATATATAACATTATATGAACGCAATTCAAGTTCAATTATAATTTGTGTTCAATACGATTATCAAATGCTGAAAAGACTTTTTAAGAGTAAAGAT